AAAGTATTAAGACTTTATTAGCAAGGAAGTATAAAAACTTCTTGCGAACATCTTTTTTGTGTGTGGTCAGAGAATCAACGAAAAAAAGATAATAATTTTATTTAAATATTCCTTTAATTTAATATTTTTTTCTGATACCTAAAATATCTAAACAAAAAAAATCAATTGAATGTATTTTTTATAGAAAACAACTATCTTTACTTTTGCAACCTTCACAATCTTTTCTATTATCACAAACTTCCTTCACATTAACTGTATCAGAAGTAGTAATAGTTCATTCAATAATACTTAGTACCAAATCTTCAATTCCTACCATGACTGCTGAATTGCTTAGAAGAAGATTATCTATTGTATTACTTGAAATATTAGTATTTGAAATTATACAAATATTAACATTGGAAGTTAAATTGTTACCTAAAACTTGAACCAGTGAAGATATTGAAAAAAGTTAGAATTAAATTATTATTAAATTGTTAAAATTTATTTTTATTAATCAAATAATTTATTTAGAAAACAAAGAATTATTTATATGAATTGAAAAATTAGAAAAAAGAAAATACTGAATTTGTAAATCAATTAGACTTAATGGAATATATTAACAACAAGTTTTCTAAAGAATTAAAACAGCAAAAAAATAAAATAAAAGATTTAAAAAAGAAAATTGATTAGCTCAAATCTGTGGAACTTAAACTTGATCCTATAGTTGTAGAATATATAGCAATTAATATATCAGAATTTGAAAGTTTGTTGAGTTTAGGAAAACATCGAAGAATTCAATCTAGAAGAAGTAGTAAAGAGGCAAAACTAGTAAAACTGGTTACCAAAGATAAGTTAAAATCAGAAGAAGCAAGAACAAAAATAAACGTCTTAATGAAAACTATTTCTAACGAATATAAATTAAGGATAGACAAAGTTTTTTTAAGTGATATTAATAAAAAAATATTACAAAAATTGATACCCAAATTAATAAAATCCATGGTTCTATGTTTTAATCCCTTATAAAAGCAAATAAATAAATAGTTAAATGCTTTATATCACTATCAGAGAGAAAGATATCAGAAGACAGAAACTGGAAAACTAGAAATAGACAATTGTTACTTACATACAAATAGCTAGTTAAATAAAGTAAGATCAATAATATTTTATATTTATACTACCTTCAAGTATTAATTTTTAAGAATAATTAGAAAAGAACATGAAGAATTAAAAGTATATAGTCATTTGTTAAACGAAGATTAAAGAAAATTATCAAATATCAAAATAAATTAACTGATGTAATTAAAGAAATAAAGATATATTCATCTGAAGAAAGTGAGACTGATCTGAGAAATCCACTAAAAGAAAAATAAATGTATATATTTATAGTTAATATTCTAAAGAAATATTTTTCGACAAAATAATTTATGCCAAATAATTATAATATTAATTATAATTACTTATAGTTAAAGAATTTGTTGAAATATTTGGATGAATATTCAAAATCAATTCAAGTGTTTCAAATAACTCATAAATAATATCATGATAATTTATACTTCTATGACATGACGCCATCAGAAGGCTTGTTAAATTAGGTATATAGTTTGAAAGAAATTTAGAATATAAACAAGAAAAAGAGATAGAAAAAAAAATCAGTAGTTAATCCAAAAGATGAAAAATTACTAAATATAAGGAATTATTAATGTATTTAAAAAGTGAAGAACAAACTGGGGAAAATATATGAATGGATAAAATTCAGGGAGCAGTTAGATTAGAAAAAAAAAGTGAAAAATTTTAGAAAACATTTGACAAGGTAAAATTAATTGGAGCTAGTTTTAAAAGAGTCAAGCTGAAATCTTTAAAGAAAAAAGAAAAAGCAAATAAAAAAGGAGAAAGAAGAAGAGGAAAAAGAGAAGAAAAAGGAAAATGACAAATAATTTAATCAATTGATTTTGTAATTTTTTAATAAATTTCATAAAATTTGAATTTTTTGTAATAGTAATTTTTTTGTTGAATTTTTTACAAATTTTTTTTTATAGTAATTATTTTGTCAAATTTTTTGCTGCAATAATTTTTTTTATCAAATTTTTTATCGCAATATTAATTTTTTGTCACGGTATTAATTTTTTTGATAAATTTTTTGTTACAGTATCAAATTTTTTGTCAAATTTTTTACTGCAGTATGTAAAAATTTTTTTTCTATAATATTGTCAGATTTTGTGTTGAATTTTTTTTTTTGCAATATGCTGATATTTTTTTGTTAATTTTTTGCTAATATTTTTAATGTTGAGTGACAGCAATCATAAATAATTTATTAATCTTTTTATTATTAATTTTTATCAAATTTAGCAATAATTTGACAGCCAAATGATATAATTTTGACTAATAAAAGTTTATAATTAATTCTAAAAAAAAAAAAAAAATTGAAATACAAAATATAAAAAGATTATAGATTGAAAATAAAATCAAAATATTTATAAAAGAAATAAAATTAAAAGAATTACAAGACTATATTGTTCTATAAACTTTGATAAGATCAAAATTATATAAAAGTTAAAAGAAAAAAGAACCAAAGATAAAAAGTTATTAGAAATTGTAACAAATATAAAATAAATTGATCAGATTTTGATTAATAACTTGTATTAATAGTTAGAAAAATATTTGTTTAAATTACTAATAGAATTTTCAAAATTGTATTTCGAGTTAGTTAATAAAAATGAATGAGTTAATTAGAGAATTATCTTTAGCAATGCATAAATATATATATAGTTTACAAAGTATTTAATAAAGTATATATGACTAATTTAAAAAAAAATTAAGACTTTTTGATCTATAATTTTTATTTATTTTTAATTTCTTTTTAAGCATTAAAAGAATTTTATATACTTTTGAATTTTATGACTTTTTGAGACTAATCAGTTATATAAATTGTTTAATATTTTTATTATAAATTAACATGCTTTGAAAAATGACCCATCGACCAGTAACTTCTGCGGATATTCCTGTTGTCACTGTGTCACATACTTCAATTAGTGATAAAAATGTGTCCCATAGCACGCACGTAATATGTAATGGATTTACACTCATTTTCTTTCATTCCTTTCATATTTTCATAATCTAAACACTACAACTTCCCCTACATATGGCATATCCAAGAAAAGATAAAGGCAAGTGTCAACTACCGTTATCTATCATTAGACGAATTAATATAAAATTTTTAACATATAATTAAAGGTCCAGAGATAATATTGACACCCGAAGAAAAGCATATATATGGACAATTATTCAAAGTCGCCGATGTTGATCAAAAAGGTGTGATTGAGGGTCGACATGCTGCCAAATTCCTTGGAAAATCGGGATTGCCTGCAGAAACGCTAAGAGAGGTACGTAAATTACTATGTTTGATTAAATTATTACATGCTTTCTAATCTTCCTTCCATTAAATTCAAAAGATTTGGCAAATTTCTGACCATGATAATAAAGGCCTTTTGACACAGCAGACCTTCAGTGTCGCAGTTAAATTAATCGCTCAAGTTCAGAATGGCCAATTGCCTGATCCTGCTCATATCAATGATGGTTTGCAATCATTAATCCTATATAATTTCCATAATGAACAATAAGAATTTAGAATCTTTTCTTAGATGTTCCACTTCCACGCTTTGACGGTGTATATGTTGAACCGTATAATAAAGTCAACATTTCGTCATCGAATTCTGACTTACTAATCACTAATGAGGAAAGGGAAAAATACAAACGAATGTTTAACAGTCTAAACCCTGCCAATGGAATGTTGGATGGTAGTCAATTTATTCTTTAATTGTATCATCTTTTTTTTTTCAATCCATAAAATTTATTGAATTATACAATCCATTCAGGTGAAAAAGTTAAAACTGTTCTCCAGAGATCAAATTTACCTGTGGAAATACTCGGTCAAATTTGGTGAACTTTTTATCAGAGTATGTTGTTGAAATTAAATATCAATTACTGATTCATATTATATAATATAAATAGGAATCTGGCAGATACAAAAAAGCGAGGCCAGTTAGATGTAACGGAATTTATTATTGCCATGTATTTTATACAAAGATCCATGAATCGTACTATTAAAACACTCCCGAGAAGTCTTCAGCCTGGATTTTATGAAATGGTCGCAGGTGTTCCTGTAAATGAACCCACGTCACCGAAGTTTGGTGTTTACGGAGTGACCGATTCTCCTAGGTCCGAACTTTCGCCTGTAATGAGGCACGCTACACTGCGTCCAACAAGTCCATCGATTTTTCAAGATGACATGTGGGACGTGTCCGCAGAAGATAAGGCAACTTTTGATCGATATTTCGACTCCCTGGATACAACCAAAAAGGGGTTTCTGACAGGTCCGAAGGATATTCCTTTTTATGTTCTGATGGTGCAATAGGAAAATGGATGTCATTTGTGGTATCATTTTTTAGGCGAAGAGGCAGCCGGCTTTTTCATGAAATCAAATTTGCCACCTGTCGCGCTGGCTCAAATATGGTAATTTTTTGTTACAAAGGTGAATTCTTGTCATAAAATTAGCTTAATAGAACACTTCATTGATGGAATTCAACAGGGATCTCGCGGATATTGAGAAGTCGGGCCGTCTCAGTCGAGATGAATTTGCGGTGGGAATGCATCTGATAACAAAAAAGCTAGTCGGGGTACAGTTGCCCGCCGTTTTGCCACCGAGTCTCATTCCACCGTCGATGCGTTCTTCGCAGGGTAACATTCAAGAATCTCTCTGTTTCAGTCCTATAAAAATTTTGTCACTTGCTCACATTTTAAAATTTCTAAAGCTGTATCCAGCCCGTTTACTGAGATTCTGAAAAGGTCGGGGACTATTAGCTCCGTGCAAAAAAGTAATTTTACGCCCGCCAGGTCACGAAGTATATCCAATCAATATAGTAGTGCCTCTGATTTATTATTCGATACAAATATTTCCAATACATTGCCAACTCCTTTCGCTTCACAATCCCAAAGTAATATCAACATACCGTTACTTTCGAAATAAGTCTATATTTGACGCAATTCTAAGTTAATTGTTGAAATTTACAATCACACAGATTCAAATGACATCGACCTTCTTGGTGACACTGATATCAGCACCCAAATGGCTATTGAAGGTGGAGAAATAAGGAACCTCAAGATGCAGGCCGACAACTTGGATGTCGCCACGACGGAGCTTAAGAATAAGCGCTCCAGTTTTGATGCCAACTTAGTGTCATTAGCTACACAGAAGAGCGAGATATCGGTGCGTATTTCACAGCTGCGGACTCTATATGATGCGGAGCTCAAAAGTTTGCAGGAAGTTCAGGCGAAATATCAACTCGAGCATGAGAGTGTTGAACGAGCCAGGGAAGAGCTTGCGCAAGTAGAAAGGTCCATGGCATCATTAAAACAAGAAAAAGAACAACTGGAAGTTGATATTCTGAGGGATCGAGAGGAGACATTGAATATAAAAAAGAGAATGAGAGTTGCCGAAGAAGAAAATATTGCCATCAAAGCTGAAATAGAGAAGCTTAAAAAGGATAGTAAACAACAGAAAGGGCTGCTTGCGATTAACAAGGAGCAACTGGCATCCGTCGAGGTGGAGAAAGATAAGTCTCTCAAGATTTTACAGAGTATGGAAGTTCATGGTACTGCGGATGCGAGCGATCCCTTCGGATCCGGAACCTTTACACCCCCTATTTTTGGTCAATCGAATAATACCAATTCAATGATTAATTCTCAATCGGGTTCAGGGTTTGAAGATGGTAATTATCAGCCAAAGTCGTTCAATCATAGTCAACATGCATCAATCTCTTCGCTTAGTGGAGCCGGCGTGAGGAGGACCATGTCGAACGCATCGCTTGCATCCAATTCAACGTTGGGTACGTCTAGCATAAAGTCCGCACCTCCGAATTCCTCAAAGTTAGAAGAAATTACATTTGATAAGCCAATTTATTTATCAAGCTCGAAGAGCACCGAATTGGAAAATTTATTTGATGAAAACCTATCCAGCACTCCGCAAGAGATCAACCAATTAGCGAGCGGTTCGGGGACGATGGCTCAAAACGTCAATCCATTTGAAAACACATTTTCATCATCTACTCAAATTAGCAAAGAATCTGCAAAACCCCTTCAGGCTCAAAACGTTGAGGAAAAGGAGACAGAAAAGATCAATGCCGATCCATTTTCGTCATTCGGAAGTTCTGTGAGATCAACCTCTGGAAAAGCTGGATTCGATTTGGCGTTTTCATCAATTAGTTTACCGAATAACGATAATACGACCACCACGGACTCGTTTACCACGGATTTCCCCAGTTTAGAGGAAATCGAAGCGTCCGTGGAGGGGGGAGTAAAATTGGGATTTGATAATGACTTCACTAGCTTTTCCGACAGTGTTGAAAAAAAGGATGAGGACGGCACCTCGAAGGAGAAGATTGTGGATGGTAAAGTTGGATATTCGACAGCTGTGGAAACTTCGGCGAATGAGCCTGAAATATTTACCGTGGACACGTCACCGACCCCAAAAGGAGGCAACGAAGCCGAAAAGAAGGGCATCGACGAATCTTTTGCCGTCACAATTACAGAACAAAGCTTACCCCCAGCGCAAGATGCTGATGCATGGGTTTCAATCGAGAATACTACAGATTCTAAGATTATCAAAGATATCAAAGATGACTTTGAGGCAGCGTTTGGAGATTTGAACGAAGTTAAGGTCACCAAGACATCTCCCATAGATTTTGATGCAGGATTCGACGACGCCGATTTCGAGGAAGATTTCAAGTTTAACCCTACATTTGAAACCCCCGTAACACAAACGAAACCAATTGTACCTGCTGCTTCCAGTGGGACGAATAACGCATCTAGTTTTACGAATACAAGTTCGATAGATTTTGACAAGGCATTCAGTGATTTTGATCCCTTCTCATCCTCAACCTCACCTTTACCAAATACAGCAAAACCAAATTTGGACGCCGCTTTTGGAGGAGCACCAGGAGAAGCATCAAAGTCAACAGACAATAATTTCTTTGACAATACATTTTCAGATCTCTTTGGTGCACCCTCATCCAAAGCTGATCCGCCTTTGGTGGAAACCCAACCCTCGACCATCACGTCAATTCCGCCTATACCTCAGTTACCACTGGCAACATCAACAACTCCGGGTGATATTGATAATATGAATCCAGTTAAAAGATTACAATTAATGGGGTTTTCACGGGAGCAATCTGAGGATGCACTTGAACGCTATGATTATGATTTGGAAAAGGCATCCAACTTCTTGGTTGAAAACCTTATCAAATGATGGGAAAAAAATTTTTTTTGTTCTATTTTCATTTACTTCACATTTTCAACAGTTGCACGCGACATTCGTGCCTCTCCTTTCTGTGATACACCAAAGTCAGTTAACTAGTGTAAAATATCGATAAATTCACTCTAAGCATTTTCAACATATTTATTTATACATCATCTAATTATAATGAAGTTATTCAATATATAGAATACCTGGTACGCGAAGAAAATTTTTTTTAGAAATATAATTAAATAAATTCATGCTTCGCAAAGTTGTGCAATATTTTTTGTTTTTCTGTTGTCCAACTGGATCAATCAAACTTGCAATAGTTAAATGACTTTGCAACGTCATTTAGAATTAAAATAAAATTTATTATTATATCTTGATCTCCAATTATTTATTAATATTAAACTCCCGAAATTAAATTGAAACCCAAGAAATCGTGATAACTAACCAACAAATTATAATGACATGTGAACTAAAATAATTTCCAATGGGGAAAGAGTTCGAAGAAAAAGCGTTTCGCGAGAGGGGAACATTTGTGGGGGTGAAATGAACCGCATAGTGTGATTCAGTCGGAGTGGTCTTTCTGGTGACTCTTATAGCTGATAATGGCATTGATGACAACGAAATGCTCGTGGGTGCGTAACCGGGACCCGACGGGAACGAGAAGGCTTCTATGGTTTCAGTTCCCGAAAATTGTATGGAACTGGGTAAAATTGTAACGATTTTGGTGACGGTGCTGGTTGTCGTTGGTGATGGCATTGATGACAGCGAAATGCTCCTGGGTGTGAGATCCGAATCCGGATCCGACGAGGGCGGGAGGGTTTCTATGATTTCGGTTGTTATGATTTCGGTGACGGCGCTGGTTATTATCGGTGATTTCAGAGATTCCGGAGTGGTGATGGGGGATGGTGGTGATGTTGATGGCACATCCTCGGTCGATTCAATAGAAGATAGCGCATGTGCGAAGAAGGGAAATTCCGCGAGCAAGATGGAGAGAATCAGGAAAATTGAGATCAAACTTTTAACCCGGGGTTTATTATACATTTTCTTATTATTGACAAAAGAATGTGTGTGGTATCGATTTTACAATGAAGGTAAAAATAAACGACATTCTGACCGGCAGGGTTTCGCCTATTTTTTTCTATAATTCACAAAAAGAAAAAATAAATTATGCATTTTGTTGGGGTTTGGCATCCTTTATATGCAATCAAGAATATGAAACGACAATTTTTTGCGTGTGAGTGAGATCCATAGAATAATTATTAGTTTGACGTGATAAAAGAAGCATCATTACGAAATACGTAAGGTTAGTAATATGCGAACCATCGTCCAATAATTCAAATTAAGGAAAAGTGATGCGTGCACCTTTGTTGGAGACTTTTGTATGTAGAATTTGAAACCGGGATTCACGTGATTTGTTGTCGTCTTATTTAGTTTTCTGCGCAATTCAATTTTAAAAAACCAACCACCATCAGTCATCCAAAACCTTTTAATTAACATTGTGCGACCCGATCGTCGAGAAAGAACAGTTCCGGGGGGAGATCGTTGCGATATTCGATGATAAACAATGCGATCTACAGCACAATATAAACTCATGTTTTTAAATAATATTTGGATTTGTATTCAAAATAATTATGGAGTTTTTTTCTTGTAATTACTGCCTTCTGCAATTGGTTAAAGAAAGAGGGAAAAGAAAAAAAATGTATTTCCAAAAGTTAACCATATAAATATCTCATGGAACTTATGGTAGCATGTTTAATTTTGCATCTTCCTGCAATTCACGGAAAAATCCAATCACGCTTACGAACACATACTATGTAGTGCTCGTGGATAAAGACAGAGTGACACAAAATTCATTAAGATCAAAACCACAGTGGCTCTATGCGCGGTCCAATAATTAACTCGAATTTTGATTTGACAAGGTCATCTGACAATGAAATCTTTAACTCATATCGTAAGCTTGTCCAGTCGTTTCGTTGCTTTATTCGTATTTGCATGACTGTTCGAAAGCGAGGCGGTTTTCTCATAATCTATTGGAACGATCCGATTGGTCGATTTATTGTCCCGAACTCTGTTTTTTTGCTCTAATCTACCCAACACTCGAATATCCTTGGTGGTTGTTCGATGGCGTTTTCGGGGTATCTTAAGTGTCTGGAGGGAATCATGGATTATTCTCTCACATTGTAACTTCAACTCACGTGCTTTCTCGACGTCGACGAACGTTTCTTGGAACCGGTAGCTGAATTGCAATTGCAAAAAAAATTCAATGAATGCGTAAACATGCATCCCACGAAGGTCACGCATACCTTAACCATAAATATAACATGAGCGTCCTATGGATTGATTCCATCTCACTAATCATTTCTTCATTATGGGGAGACTTTGTGGGAAATTTCACTATTTCATCAACGCGACAAGGTCTATTTTGATTGTGCAGCATCGCGAACTTTGTACATTTTAAAAATAGCATGTTTTTTTTTTTTTAATTAAAAACAAAAAAAAACCAAAAAACTAAAACCATTGATGTTAATATTTGACAGCGGAAAAAAGTTTCGCGTACCTTTTGAATGTTCTTCATTAGACGCACATCAGATGTGTTCACGGGCCCAGTGACAAAACTGAATCGCTCGGGAATGGTCATTGGTATATGTTCTATTGAATTGGCAATAAGCTTTGAAAAGAAACCGATGAATAAGAAGTGACCACCACCAGGCAATTGGTATCCTTAAAGTCTACATAAGTACCTTTTGGGTATGAAAGTTACACAAAAAGTATTGACCATCGACGCGAGCCAAATCTTCAAACTTTTCCTGGGCGTGTAGATCAAGTTGTTCAAAGAAGTTCTGGAATAAACCAAAACGAAAGCAAACCATTCAACTTACTAAAAGTGACGAAAACTCCTTTGTACTTGGCAGTTGATGTGCGAATAGTTCGACCATCTCCATGGTTGGTTGCAGTCCGGCCATCTATCGGCGCATCGAGTGGGAAGGTGAATTTCGAAATTCATCAGCCATGTTGACATGAAATTATAATATATCTACCTCTATATTTTTCGTTGGCGAGGCCATTGCCTGGTGGATGTACCTCAAATCCATGGGCTCCAGTCTGTCAATATGCAAAATTGACGAAACATGAAATAGTGTGAAACCTATGAAATGAAGGAGACGCTAAACATACGTACGCAGTCACTTCTCCGGTAACATTCGTCGTACCGAACCGACCAGCTCGACCAGCAATTTGTTTAATTTGAGGGATAGGCACGTATCTTATACCCGTACCGTCAAATTTTTTGACAGTTTCAAACACCACTCGTTTAATGTTTCTGAAATTTACAAAAGATGTCTGCTCAAACTGAATCGCGTTTTGATGAAAGAAAGGAGGAATTCTTGATTCCCTACAAGTTCAATCCCATTCCGACTGCGTCGCTGGCGATCAGCACATCAAAACCGCTGCCAGGATCATTAAATAATTTGGCCTGCTGTGATCTTGTCTCTGAAAGGGAAATGTATGCCCGGGTGTCATCGAAGACGCAGGGTAATGAGCGGGAAGGAGGGATACTTCACATACCTGGTGGTAAACTGCCATAGGCAACGGCACACCGAAGGCCGGTAGCTTCTTCGATCTCATGCTTCAGGGCGAAAATAGATTTCCTGGAGAATGTGACCACGCAATCGCCTTTTTGAATTTTTCGAAGATCTCCATCCAGCGAATTTTGGGATATCGAGAGTTCCGAAAGGCGCTTATACTCTCGAACTTCAATGTCTTCATCAATGCTTCTGCAAATCGATCGAATAAGCGGTACGGCTGAAGGTTCACCGCACAAATGGATTTCTTTCGCTTGCAAACCTATCTTGAAATTAACGGCAATTCACCTGTTATCACGTGGTCACTTGTAAATGGAAAATAATGAAAGTAAAGGCTTACCCAAGAGTGCTTGTGTCCAAGCCCATCCCCTTTGTGTATCGCCGATCATCTGGATCTCATCAATAACCGCCACATCTATCTGCTTTTGTAGATTGGCCATCTCAATGGTGGAAGAGGTTAAAGGTACGTATGCACCCTCCAACTCCCTTCTCTCCTCTCCAGTCACAAGGTTGCAAGGAATCCCCTTATTGTTAAACCGGTCAAAAACCTCATGGGCTAGTAAACGTAGAGGTCCACAATATAAACCCGATTTGGCGCCTTCCAAACATTTGAGTGCATTATAGGTCTTTCCCGAGTTAGTGGGACCGACATGACATATTATTTTACTAATATTTCAAAGGGAGATAAACCAACTGCTAATTCTGTCGTGTACTCATTTGCATTAATGTGGAAGATGATCTTATACCGTTGTATTGTTCTCGCGACTGGATGCCATTCCGCCGGGAAGCTCAGGTCACTCAATTGCTTTAAAGAATTGAATCTCTCCTTATCTTCATCGGACATGAAATCTTGAGAGAACTCCATGAATGCTGCCTTGAGCAATTTCTCAACGGCCTCTTTCTGATTGTTGTGCGGCGGTGAAAGAGATGAATGAGATTTTAAATTCTAAATTTCAACAGTTTGCTTACTTCACCAAGGAACTTACCCCACCCTCTACGTAGGTCGATCTCAATGCTTCTCTGTTGCATCGTTCTATGCCATCGTGCCAGACTTTTTCGACGAATTTTCTGATTGCCGAACGAAACTTCATTATTTGGATGCCCATTTCCGTGCCCTGTTTTCTAACTTCTCTGGATCTCTCGAATTCCAGCAATATGTTTTCAAGCGTCTCCTCGCTCCATGGCCTGAGACTTGGTGATAAATTAAAGATTTTCTCGAGGAAGTTGACTTTTTTCGAGTCACCTTGATGCTTGAGACGATCCAAGAAATCATTTTTTGCATTCTTTGCCACTTCAAAGGGTGACGCCTGATGCGGATTGGGTGGTGGATAATCGCGTCGACGATGTGAACTTCTCGAGGCCTTTTCACTTCGTAACCTTAATGTGGTCGTTGAGAAGGGCACATTTTTTATCAGGGAAACCCCGATTCTATCCGAATAAACCTTGGACCGTATAGATCGCGTACGGATCGTATAAAGAAATATCATCCGAGTCACAATTTTAACGTTAAAAAAAATCTTTGCTTCCGCATCTATATATTGTGACGCATCCATCACATGATTGGTGGTTAAAAATAATAGTGCACAAAGTAGATTATGGGTTATGCATATCATTCTATTAATATCGCCTGCGGTCAGGTAAGCATTTTTTTTTTTTCAACAAAAAGATTTAATATCAGACCGATTCCGGAGTTAAGGCTCGGCCTTGGAGCCGAGTCGGATTGAACCATTGCAATCTCAAACGTAAGCATATATGGTAATGCGTTAATTTAGGGTAATGACTTTTTTAGGCAAGGAGAATGATATCATCTACGTCAAATGGGCTTGTGACGGCAATATTGCAATATCGGAGGATTCCTTTCTTTTATATGTCAAACTTTATAAAAGACAATTTATTTTGCGGGTCTAAATGTAGCGTTATTTTCGCCTTGTCTCTGTGTCATAATGAAATTTAAATAGGATGTTTGTATGCTTGAAGGTTTAAAAACGATTTAAACGTATGTGTGGAGTGATGGGTGTAAAGTTAAATTAGTGCATAAATAATATGTTAGGATTTTTGTTGCCAATTGATAGTTGCGTTTTTCATCACCTCCCTACGAACGTTCGCACATTTCACCGGGTCATCGGACAACACGGCGTCCACCCCGTACAACATCACCTTTCTCATGTCACTTTCCTCGTCTACCGTCCAAACAAACAACTTTTTACCTTGGAGTTTTAATTCTTCTGCGAATCCGGTGACATCCTCAAGAACGTAAGTGAACTCCATATTATAACTCTCCACGTTAGAGAAATACTGGCGAGCGATTTCAATGCTACTTCCGATATGAGAGATGGGAAAATCGGGTAACACTTGGCGAGCTCGGACGAGGAATTCCTGTGTCCATATTCCAAGATAGATTTGAGAGGAAAAGTCGTAAGGCGCATTCGAGCGAATCACGTCGGAAATTGCGTCAAGTATATAGATATTGTTATCTTCCTAGATCATTTGGTAATGTTGATGAATTCCATGCGCATACGCAAGGTGGTAATACCGGAGCATGTTGATGAAATGGGTTGAGATGGATTACCTTGATATCCAAAATTAGATAAACGCTTTCGCGTTTTAGCAGATCCAGAACTTGCTGAAATTCTGGTATGTCTTCGGAATCTCCGGATTTCAAGTATTCGACGTATCCTTTCCAATTTCTCTCTTCCACGAGACCCGTTCCATTCGTCGTTCTATCCAAAGACGTATCGTGCATCATGATTATATGACCATCCTTAGTTATGCGAACGTCGGATTCAATCCCGTCGGCACCTAAAATGATCGCCTGTTCGAGAGAGAGCATTGTATTCTCGGGATAATGAGAGGAATATCCACGATGACCAACGCATTGGGAATCTGTGGATAGAGAAAAAAAAAAAAGAAAAAAGGCAGGAAAGATGAGTAGACGATCGAATGATTAACTATCCTTTGGACAATTCGATGGCACGAATTAAACAAATCTTTCATTACAAAGCGCATCGCAGTGGACCACCGAGAGTATCAAAACTATGAGGATAACTTTCATCGTGAAGAATGTAGGAGATCAAGGAAAAATTCGATTGTTCTTATTTCACTCCTTTTGGAAAGATTGTCTCGATAGATTTCAATGATCCTGTGACAAAGATCATGGTAATTTTTAATTACTTCGTGGTTTGTGAAACAGCTCCAGTCCATCGTTTGGTGCAGGCGGTGCGCCAGATGTTTTACCTTAAAAGACAACTTGTATCTTCAAAGAATTTGGGGATGATGTTAACAGGTTTTTATACTTTGTTGACGGGTAAGACTGCGAAATTATATTTAATAATATACGCCGAATTTATTTGCCAATAATAGCGTTGCCCTTTATCGTCACGCACATAATTATAACTCCAGTTTGTATTTCGTCTTATGCACGACACATCTATTAAACTACTACGCATCAAATATAACATTTTTGGAATTAACTTTATTGCTTTAAGGCTATATATAATCAACTAGCCATGATTACGTTGAAGGTTCGCAGTTTGTCACATAGGTTATGATGCACAATAACTCCGCTCTTTAAGTAAAAACCATGATAATCATGTGATTTTACGATCGGCAGTTGCTGACTTTTTATTTATACTTTCACTTCAACCGCGAACTTCTTCAACAATCAATTTACTTTCTTCGTTATCTATTAAGAAGAGGTATTCGATGTCCCACTGATTTTCTTCAAGTGCATCCATGAGAGTATCAAATGAGCTGTCTATCCATTCATGAGTTCTCTTGATAATATCCGACACATGGTCTCCGTCGTTTGACGAAACGGGATCCACATGTTCCAAAGCGTGCCTAATTGCGCAAGCGTGATAAAATCCTTTAATGACATCCTTGGATTTGGCATTCTGACTAAACCATATGGAAACATGTGGCAGCCTGCTACTTTGAATTCGGTGACGGTTGGGTGCATGGAGAATGAAGTATTCCTCGGGATGAAGAAATCCCCGGTGTTTCAATGCTGAGCGTAAATCGTCGTCGTGATCTGCGGACGTGTAGTTGCGCAGTGCCGGCCCTATGACCAATGGTATCTTAAATGGGGAACGATACCGTCTGATGAACACCTCCCTCGACGACACGTTTTGAGGAGTTGGCACGTGATTCCTTATGTCTTGAGGGGATTCGGATGACTTTTTGCATCCGTCTAAAACGGTACGGATGATTGTTTCGGCACGGGGTACGTTGAGGGTACTGGTCGTGACAAAAAAGCTTGACCGATAACTACTGTATATGCTGATGATGGAAAATGGCAGGAAGCATAGGAAAATCGGTCCTATGGATTGAATGACCGTGATTAACGAATGCGGAGAGACCGTCGCCGCTGGAAATTTTGTAGCAATCGCGGCACTCAAGATGACACCTAGGGCGGTTCCTGATTTTTTTTCGAACAAATGAATGAATGGGTGGATGAACGAACAAAGAAACGAATGAACAATATGAACTCGTGATTTACCAAGTAAACCTGCCGCTGTCGACTGAGATCCGGACTTCCCGGTAATATCGCCTAAGCTGTTAAGAAATTTGAATAGAATTTTCGTACAGTAATCTCTGTATGGCCAAGTAAGACTTACTTATCGTGTAAAGCAAAAGTCTTGTGCATTTGTGCACTAAATGAAGTAGAAATCTCACTGAGAAGAATGTTTATCACACCCCAAGCCCATTATCCTTCACACCTACCGAGTTGCTGACCCTGCCAGCCATGCGATATTTTTTCCTGAAATCCAAGCGATTAGACATCGGGTACGAGGTTCTTTATATCAAGATCGACAAATAAAAGTTTACCGATGTTTGAAATTGATGCGATTATTAAGAACGTTCCGGGAAATAAAGGAGACAATAATTCCAACAGAGAGGAAAGTTGAATTGCGACTGTGGCTTGAAATCGATGGCGCTTCGGTTCTGAATCGAATCGATTATTTACGGACGCGGCATAAATCACACCGCCCAGTTGACCTAGCCCGTCTTTGATGACCCAGTTTAACGTGGCGGCAAGCTTCACACAGAATGAAAACGACACATTAGAATGTTTTGGGTCCGTTAATGATGAAACCGTGAATCAACATGGGGATAACGACTTTAACGCACAGGAATCGACTTTTCACCCAGGCCCATTGAGTATAGTAAAGTTTGGGTCGATAGAACTTGAAAGCAAACGCATATCTTGTCGCCACCGGTCACTCACATAAATCTAAACTTGCACGCGTCTGCTGAAAGATTAAACAATTACCTCCGGTCACGGATCCGGCAACATTACGAATAAACTCCCACTTGGCGAAACCCAAGTAATCTCTGGTCACCGAATCGGGATACCCCTTGGGCATGAACGTCTTTATAACATTGCGCTTTGCCTCTGACATTATTTCCCGAAAAGAAACCTTTTTTATAGAACGAAAAGCCAATTCCTCATACTTCATTAGTTGATCGTTAGAATCTTTGGAGGGAAATTTAACCGTGGTCAACCTTGAATTCCACAATTTTCCAATCCGCTGACTGACACGCAGGTTTCCTTGTTGAGCTTTCACCGAGGAATTACGAAAAGAACGAGCCAAGTTCGTTTCCGCGGCGACGCGTACGGTAAAACGCTTTGGCGTACGGCATTGCAAAAGGCCATGGAAAATTTTCATTGTTGAAACCGAGAAATCTAAAGGCTTATCGAGGTTAATGAAATTGATAATCTCGCATGTTTCACAAAACGTCAACGTTACGTATGCACATGAATGCACAGTCGATTGCTAATTGCCTGCACTATTTCTGGACAAGTAACAAATTACTTTAGAAAGTTACGAATTCTTGACTCCATACCTCCCTTGAAGTAACCATGTCCGAACTCCCGAACATGGCGATCTCCGATCACGACCATAGCGCCGAGAGTGAAAACGAACTCGAAGCCACCGAGCTTTCTGAAGAAAGTAATATGCTTTAAAAAAAAAAAAAGGATTCCATTTTTTTACATCCATCTTAGATGTTACATCGAATTCAAATTTTTCGATTTTACCGATTCTTCTAGACATTCTTGCCGATTATGACGAAGATTCAGATGTAAATTTGATCTATCATCGCAATGAGTTGTGGTCTTCAAAACTCAACTTTTCTTTCTTTCTCAAGTATTAAGCACATCTTTAACTCCTTGATTATGCAGGAAATCGAATTATTACACATGCGCCTTAAGGATATACCTAGTCTAGGTCTCGAAAAATTTCCAAATATAAAGGTAATCTTTGCTGATCACTGCGCTAAGGTTCTTCTTTATGATTTGTAACACGTCGATCCGCTATTCCAACAGAAATTATGTCTCAGGCAAAATCGAATCGCCCGAATCGAAGGGCTCGAGTCCTTAACAGGTCTAATGGATCTGGATTTTTATGATAATCGGATATCTCGTATTGAGAATTTAGAACAATTGACTGATTTGGAGTAAGTGAGAAAATTGGCGCATTGTCTATTGAGCAGTTAGTTTTCGGAAACTCGGTATTTGTCCATTTCATTGGTAGATCGTTGGACTTCTCTTTCAACACAATCCGTGAAATCGAGAATCTAGAGGCCCTCACGAGGTTAAAAAATCTGTATTTTGTTCAAAATAAGATATCCAAAATTAAAAACCTCGATACACTTACCGACCTAATAAACTTGGAACTTGGTGCAAATCGAATTCGAGTGAGCATTCAATTCTTAAAAAAAAAAAAAGGGGGGGGGGGAAGAAAGAAATCGATTTGTGGCAGTGATAACATTGCTGGTTTTTTCTTCATATTAATGTAGGTGATCGAAAATTTGAATAATTTAGTTAACTTGGAACAACTTTGGCTAGGAAAGAATAAAATCACAGAACTGCAGGTAAAGATATTCTGGCATTTACAAATTAATGACATTCGGTTTTAATGAGTTTGCAATTGTCTTCGATGTAGAACCTGGAAAATCTGAAAAATCTCAAGATTCTAAGCATTCAAAGTAATCGCATAACAAGAATCAAAGGTTTGGAAGGATTGGTTAATCTGGAGGAGTTCTATATAAGTCATAGTGGTATCAACGAAATTGAGGGATTTGAAAATAATGTTTGTACGATTTTCTTTAAGCGTTAGGTGAGAGTCGATTTATGCGAATCTCTAACTGTCCTTCATATTTAGCTAAAATTGAGAGTTATTGATGTTAGCAATAACTACATTAAGAAAATTGAGAATATCTCACACCTGACAAATTTGGAGGAGTTTTGGGTAAGATATTTACACTAAGCGATGCAGTTCTCGTGTCTAGGACAAGCTCATTGTTCTGCCGATTAAAATTTTTCTCTGGAGAAACGTGTTCATATTTCTTGCCTTCTATTTGCAGGCTAGTAATAATCAGATAGACGACTTTGAGGACCTCGTTAAACTCCGGAACCTTGATAACCTGACGACAGTCTATTTCGAAGGGAATCCCATACAAACCGAAAATCAAACCACCTATCGGCTTAAGGTGAAAACCTATTTGCCCCAGCTCATGCAGATAGACGCCACGTGAGTGTTATTTCCTTGCTCCGAACATATGACTATTATTGTTTTTTCGATAATCTGTTTGACCTTTGTTCGCTCACATTTTAAAAATTGGTTGGCAGGTATTTGCGGATGTAATTGCTCTCCAGCAAGAGAATTCTTTCATTTTAAATAATACCGAATCTCTTTCCAAAATAATCAAGATCCTATCATTGTCTGAATAACAAGAGTGTTTGTTGGTAATTGAATGATGGTTCTTTTGCGTCCGACTAATCTTCGGGTATTCTCTCTCGGAGAACTTGAACTGAACAAAAGAAAATAAAATTGAATTTTACCGATGAGTACGAAAACGATAACCATAAGAATACGCCTATATAAATAAATAATCAATTTATCTACTACCAGAAAAAAAAAAATGAATAAAATTCCTTTTTCAAGATAAAAAAAAAAAAAAGTGGATTCAGCACGCAATCATCTCGAAATTGCCGCGGAATCACTTTTACAAACTTTGCTGGTTAACTTTTTATAAAAAAAAACCCCCAGCGAATTTTCGTTCTTATTAACGATTTTTCGTGTTCGAATGAAATAAATCATTCGACAGATAGCTTTATTAAATTGGCATTGTTAATCGAATTAAAGCATTCAGCAATATTTGTCATGATAATTTTATAATGCTTGAATTTTAATTTAACTAAACAAAGAAGTTGAATCCTACATGCACTTTAAATAATACAGGTTGATTTACACCATGCACTGTGTATTATATACTATACAGTGGTTTGGAAAAAAAAAAAACTGGAATTTTTCTTAATATGTATGTGAAGGTTTATTTAAACCAAATCAATCTAAATAATGTTATACCAAATATATATTATTATAAACTAATATTTATAAATTTGTCATAAAATAATATTCAGCTAGCAACTTGTATACCAACATTAAAAAATTTTAATTAAAAATTATTTTATAAAGTTAAAATATTTTTATTTAAATAAATAAATTTCAAATTATAATATAAATTATAATTTTTTTTTTCAAACCACTGTGTATAGATAGAGTATATTAAAAGATTACCTTTTGTTTAATTTTATTTTTAAGAAGAGTCATCAAACTCATAGGATTTCATCTCTCTGTGCGCGCTTCGTGTCTCCCCCGGATTTAATGCCACCAACGGGACATTGCGCTTCATGTTAACATTCACATTCGATCGAATACCGACACACTCAAATGCTCTACAGCATGGTTTTAATGAATTTTGTGGCAATTCGAACCAGGAATGGCACTTTTCTATCTACTTGCTGAAATGTTTCTGATGTTATTGTGACGGTGTTCTCTCTGAGATGTTGCAGCTCCTGAATTCATTGCATTCGTTATCAACAATGAACAAACAAGTTAATTCTTTTTTTTTTTTTTTTCAGAGAACGGCGTGTTTGAAGATGACTTTTAGTAATGTTGATAAATGAGATACCTCATGGATTGCTTTCCTAAGCACTTCGTTGGTGGTTATTAGTATGGCTTGAGCCTCCAGGTCTCTTTCAGTCGATCGATATCCATAGTTCGATGATCCTATTATTGTCAAGCTCGGCCACTGTTGTGCACTCATGTAATACCACAATCCTGGTGAGTGAATAAAAGATAATGTGCCGACACCATATTAATTCAAAAAAAACATGATCCCACTCCACGAAATTGAAAATTATGCCAGTCGTTTGTCCTCTACATCGCAATACCTTTGGCATGAAAAGTCCAATTTGGTCTTTTGTATTCTTCAATGGTCACCAAATGACTCTTTCCGTGTTTCAATATATCATAATAAAATTGTTTCTCTATGAGTGTGTATGCCTGTGGGAGGTGCTTTGACATCCCCTTCGAACGGAAAAATCCATTGGCCTTTGGGATGTAGAAAGTCATATATGAACATCATCAATTCACGACAGCGAAACTTCTAACATAAAAATGTGTGATCCAACCAACCTCTGGCGAGGCAGCCAACACACTAAGTTTTGTTGCGGCGTTCAATATTTTATCCTTAAATTTTTGGGTAAAATTAAAGTATCCCGATGCAAAAAATACTTGTTCACCATCATTGTCACGTTGATTCCCATATTTCGTGATCGCATCGAGAACATACAACGTCGCCGATTCGTCCTGCCTGATCGCAAATGGTCCCATCTGAACGACCGGAAAAATAATTGTATCCAAACTGTTGTTCTGCTCGTTTTTTCGTTCCTCCGAGTTCTTTTGTCGTTGAATGACTTGAAATTCGTGGTTATTGGTCCACTTACCGATGAATTCCTTCATTGCCGACGCTGCACACTTGCGGAACAGGTGACTTTCGGTCACCGGATCTGGAAATTGAGGTAAAACCAATTCATACGGTTTGTCATGTTCTTCAAACTCTGTCACCGGCTTTAGCGTGTATGAGAAAGTTGAAATGGTTTGCAAAAGGTCCGCGAAATAGTTAGTAAGACTAGGAGCATTCTTGAATAACATATAACGATCTTGTCTGTTGGTAAAATAGTCGTGACTCAAATTTGCCCTGGAATTTTCGCAAATCGATGAGGAAAATTACCAAACGATTTGTCAGATAACTATGCTGAAATTAAGAGACGTTGCGTTGCTCACCCACTTAGCATTAGGCTATCATCGAAACCAAATGCTTTGATGTGCATTAATCCGATCGACTCGTTGAATCTCGGGGGGATGAGTCTCTTGAGGACTCCTTTGAGATCGGGTGTATGATACAATGATACTGTCACCTGATCGGGAAACTCCTTGACCAACATCGCAAGAAGATTGGCGGGACTTTCCGAAGCATCATGATCCGCTCGCGTGGATCGCAGGCAGTCAAGTAATAGGTGCACCTTTAGTTGCTTTGATCTTTTGACCGCGGTTCTTATAGTTTCGACCTGTCATCAAATGCAATTTGCTAAAGACAAATTAAGGTGATTACGAATGTGAACAAACAAAGAATAAAAATACATCATCTTACCAGATCCTTTTCATTAGATCCTATGTATAAGGCCGCTAAAAATATCCTTTCTTTTGCGGAAAGAATGTGCACCTGAGAACCCGTCACTTTATTAGCGCCGATGACCGGTCAAATGACAAGCAACCACTCGTAATGAACGCAAACCTTGAGCTGATTATAAAATTCACCTGGCTCTTTGAGAGGTTGGATTTGTTCCCCATTTAATAAAAAACAAGGGGCCAATCTAAATAGCGATCTAAATTTTTGAAACGGTTCTCCGTTCATGATTCCCTCCGTGGACGAAAAGCCGGAACTTTTTCCTAAAAGTTGTTCATGTTTTCCTAAACTGAGCAGATTCTCATCCGATACATTCGTACTATGGAAATTGCGCGCATTCCCTTCGAAATTTTGATATCTATTGGAATCACGGAATCGAGAGGAGCATCTGAAATTGCGAATTAGATATTGCCTATTTACCAATGTTGGCATAATCAGAAAAATGCTCATATGGACTAATTAGAGTAAGAAAAAAGTGCTGATCATCTAAAATCCGAGTTTATCAAATTACCCGAGGAAATGTTTACACGAGAATCTTTACATTTTCAACCCAATTAATTATATCTTTATGAGAATCCGCATTGAGAATCACTACGTAATTCCTTCCAAAAATAACATTTTTTTTTCATTTCAGAATAATAAAATTATTTTTTTTTTCTTACATATTGACGCAAAACCTTTTAGGTTTCGATGCAACCGGCTATCTTCAAAGATGAAACACTTCAAAATCATCGTGCTCAAACGTTCTTCTAACAAATATTTTGCCTATACGTACCTAATGATAATAATTATATAATGAATTTAATAGATATAATTGTTGTCAGTAAAGAATTATCACAAAGTAATTATGTTTACCTATAAAAAAAAAATAAAACCAAAAAATAATCATGACGCGTTTCTGATTATTATTTCTAAATAATTTTATTGCACTTGATACTGAATTTTCTGGTTTATCATCACTTTTACAAATAACAACTTTTCAATACGTTTCTTCTTTTAATTAATTAGAATTTGATTTGTGACAACCTAGAATACAAAACACTGTCAAAAACCAATTATCGGTAATATATTAAATAAACAAAAGTTTATGTTTGAAATAATTAATAATAATATATTTACTTTTTTATTATTAAAGATAATATTGAAATCGGAAAATATTAAAATTCACGTAATTTATTTTATAAAATTTCTGTTTTTAACTATAACTAGTATTGGATATAAGCACCTTATTAAGAATTGACTTACAGTAAATAATTAGCATGATATTGTAATTAAATTTATCAATGTATTTAAATATCTTTTTTTTTTAAAGGAATAATTCTTAAGAGATTTATTCGGGATTTCTTTAAACAATATTATACTATATTTCATAAAAAATATGATTTATTCAAAATTTCAGTTTATAAATAAATAAATAAAAAAAGAGAATAATTTCTTTAATTTTAATGTTAATATATTCAATTAAATAAAATTATTTATATAAACTTATTTATATTAAATTATATCATATATTGTATTTAATAAAATTTTTTACTAATTAAATAAAAAAATATAATTTGAATAATGGGTTAAAAAAAACAATAATAATAAATTATAATTAAAAATAATTATTAAATAATATTCTTTTAATCTACAACTACTGTATACTATTAAAATATTTTTTATTGAAATATTAAATAAATATCACTTAAATTATAAAAAAAAAATTTTTAATCCATAATTATGCTATAATAACTTGTTATTATTATTGAAAAGTTAAATCAAAATTTACAATAATTTATAAACTCTTTTACAATACAACTAACTTATCTTTATATATACTGTAAGTACTCTAAGTCAAATTTTGAGAACAATATTATACTTCCCTAATATAATTAAATTAATCACTAGCTATTAGGATTATTATCAACAGGTTATTACTATGGATTAATTCAAAAATTAATGAATTGTTATATTAAAAGAAGAAAAAAGAAATGAATAAAAAAATAAATTTGCAAAAAAAAACTCTTTCACTGATCCTCAAAATTTCAGAAAATTTCCTTTTATAGTAATTTTCTAAAGAAAAAACCTTTTCATAAGAAACAACCTCAAGGAGAGATAACAATAACAACAACTCATTTCCCCTACAATATACACTTGACTCTTGACAACAAGGAAGGGACTACGCTAGTCAACAACAATATACTTATATTCTTGTTTTACTTAAGAAAGAAGAGAAAGCAAGGACAAACTGATTCACAGTAGGTTTCTTGAGATCCAATATCAACTTCACAGAGCTCTTAGCCAGGCCAGTGCAGGTTAACACCTATCTAGGCATTAAGAGAGGTTCCAGAAGCAATAATCCAAACTGATAAATCAGTTCAAAGTCAAAGCTCCAAAAACCTAGAAAAACATCCAAATCTCTTGGGCCAAACAGTAAAGATCAGTAGTAAACAGTCATAACAACTAATCTATCAAACTCACATCACGTGAACACAAACACGTAAAAGTGAAAATAATCTAGCCATGACAAAACAACAACTCAAGACGTGTCAACATATCACACAAAAGTAAGACATGTCAATCAGACCATATCAAGAGCAATAAACAAGTAATACACATATAGATAAACAGGATCAGTTTACAACTGAAACATGTGAAGCAATGCGTATTAATATAGATCTTCCAATCACATAACCCAAAATAGTATGGTATTTACAGATCAGCATAAAGAAAATCAACAAAACATCATAACAACCTGATACACATAATAGTTTATCTGCCTCACGTAACAATATGACATAAAAAGAGCAAAATATTATTAGAATTTTGGAACGACGTGAGCAAGAAATCCTTAAAGTACTTGGAAACATCGCCACTAGATATAATCCTCAACAAGAACTATAGGAGACAAAAATACTACAACATAAGCTAGAATATACAATAGAAGATCAACTACAAATCCCAATAGGAGCAATCCACATGATCTCAATTCTAGATAATATCTTAGCCACTCTATTAAATATAGATCCTGAAATCTTGGCAAAAGAACAGATGTTAAGAAAATATATTCTC